ATGCGCCCAAGTCTTAGCAGGCATAACTATAGCCATCAGCTACCCGAGCATATTGGCAGTCTCAGAATTGTTTGGAGTTATCATCACCCCCTTATTTTGGTTTGGTATTCTTCTAATTCTAATAACCCTATTTGTCTCCTTTTGTCTTCAGGCCATCACGTTCCAGATGATGTCACTGAGGGATGCGGTCCTCTCAATATTCAAAAGCCACCCTTCTACAGAGAACCCCTAGACGGCTCATCAGTGGGACACGACAGAGGCAAAAACCTGGCTGGATACTGCTTTCACCAACCCATGGAGCCAACTGTGCCCTGACAGCTAGCAAGAGGCCAAGGCCTGCAGAACAACCACTAAAACGCCTTTCTGTCCGCAGGAATCAGTTACAGAAGATTGACCTTCATCCATTTTCCTCAAAGAATTAGGGTGTTGGAGTCTTGAGGGGGGAAATGTTACAGTAGGTAGCTAGTCAGGCTTGAGCAGGGCAAGAGAGGGCCTAACCTCCAACCCTGCCACACACACACACCAAAAATTTTAGGCAACCATCAGGTGATGGTCAGGTGGTTGTTAACTGTCTCTCTAAAATAATAATTGGTCACAGCCAACACCAGGGAAAGTCAGTCTCCCAATAACTAGAAACACCTGAAACTGGTGATCAGCAGCATCCTAATAAGATCTCAGGAGTTGGGTGAATGGGCTCAAGCTTGCACATTAAGAGGCAACATTGTGGAGTTCAACTAGTATATGACCTTCTAGGGACATTTGACTGGTAAGGGAAGAATGCCTCAAATGAGCATATATACAACTCCAGTAAACACACTGTGCATGCTCTCCTCTCAAGTGCTAGCAGGCCACTGCACGTGCAGACAGCCCCTCCCAAAGGAAGAAACAGGGGAGAAGGGATGCAAGGCCTTGGAAGCATGCTAATGTATGAAACCTCAAGACAAAAGGTCAAACCGTGCACTTATCTCTCAAATCATCCACTTTACCCTCTTCCAAGGTGATCTCTCAAGTCACCTGCTTCACCCTCTTCCAAGTGTACATTACCTCCTCTCATTCCTGCTCTAAAGCTTTTTAATAAACTTTCACTCCTGATCTGAAACTTGCCTTAGCCTCTCCTTCTGCTTATGTCTGTCAGTCAAACTGTTTCTCCTCAGGAGGCAAGAATTGCGATTGCTGCAAACCTGTATGGATTTGCCACTAGTAACAAAACTTACAAAAATCAAAGACAGAGAATTTTGAAAGCAGCAAGAGAAAACATTTGTCCTAATTTCAAATTATATTAGAAAACTGTAGCAATCAAAAGAGCATGGCACTAGCATAAAAACAGATACATAGATCAATGAAAAAGAATAGAGAACCCAGAAATAAACCCATGCATATGCAGTTAGCTGATCTTCAACAAAAGCACCAAGATTACACAATAGGGAAAGAATAGTGAAGGAAATTAAAATACTTTATCCCAAAATACATTTCTTTGACATATTTTTAAATGGCTGCTTCTTGGCCAGCAGGCAAAAGTGGCCTTGTGAAGCTATTCTAAGTGGGGAAAATTTGCATCTGTAGAGGATCTCCATTAGTGAAGCCATCTCTACTTCCCTTCCTAAGCCTTCCCCCAGATCCAGGAGAGGTTGAGAGTCTGACGCCTTGATTATTTATTTAAAACCTTTTCCTCCACCTCTGGCAGATGAACTGACACCTTTAAAGATCTGAAAAGAAACATTTACTATCTATTCTCTCTGAGGGAGGCTTCATCTACATAAAAAGGCCACCTTTGCTAGTCAAGCCTCCTCATTTCTCTCTCTTTAAACCTGCCTTGCCGTTAAACCTGATTTGCCTGTTTCTAGACTTGCTTATAGTCTGCATTCTTTACTTCAGCCTCAGGATAATATACACATTTCTGTAACTCATTGGAAAGTTGGGCTTTTATTCTGAAGGCTCCTGTGGATGCATGCTAAATAAATTTTTATGCCTTTTCTCCTATAAATCAATCTGCCTAATGTCAGTGATTTTTAGCAAACCTTTAGGGGACCAAGAGCCTGTGGCTCCCACAGTAATTTTGTCAATAATGGGCTGAGAAAAATGAATATCGACATATAAAAGAAAGAAATTGTACACCCATCTTACAGTGTATGCAAAAATCAACTCAAAATAGATTAAAGAGTTAAAATAAAAAACTCCTAGAAAACATAGGGAGAAAGCTTTCTGACATTAGTCTTGGCAGTGCATTTTGGATATAACATCAACAGCAAAGTCAACTAAAGCAAAAATAAACAAATGGAACTATATCAAACAAAAACCTTCTACACAGGAACGGAAACAATCAACAAAATGAAAAGAAAACTGACAGAATAAGGGGAAATATTTGTAAACCATATCTCAGATAAGAAGTTAATATCCAAAATATGTAATGAACTTGTAAACCAAAAATAAAATTCTAAGCCCCACTACCTAACTGGTGGACCCTCCCCTCAGCCGAAGGCATTTCAAATTGTCCTAAAAAACTAGTTCAGGCCATGATGGGAAGTGGCTCAGACATGTCTCACAAACATCAACATAGAGACCTTAAGACTGATAGAACAGGCTTTTAAAATCTGATAAGAAACACCATCTATTCTCTCTGAAGCCTACCTGTAGGCTTCGTTTACATGATAAAGTCTTGGTCTCCACGTCCCTTTATCAAAACCCAGACAGTCCCTTCTATTTGATTCCCGGTCTTTAGATAAAAACTCTTTCAACCATTTGCTAATCAGAAAATCTTTAAATCTGCCTGTGACCTGGAAATCCCTGCTTTGAGTTGTCCCACCTTTCTGAATTGAGCCAATATACTTCTTACATGTATTGACCTATATCTTGTGTCTCCCTAACGTGTATAAAACCAAGCGGTACCCTAACCTTGGGCATATGTTGTCAGGATGTCCAGAGGCTGTTGTTCACAGAAGCATTCTTAACCTTGGCAAAATAAACTTTCTAAACTGATTGAGACCTGTCTCAAATACTTTTGGTTTACAAACTCATATAAATAAATAGCAGGAAAAAAAAACTGATTTAAAAAGGGGAAAATAACTTGAGACATTTTTCCAAATAACACAAACAAATGGCCAAGTATATAAGAAGTTTCTCAATTTCACTAATTTCAGGTAAACGCAAATCAAAACCACAACCACATATCACTTATAGCTGTTAGAACGGCTATTATCAAAAAGTCAAAAATAAGTGTTGGCAAAGATGTGTGAAAAGGAAGCCCTTAGGCACTGTTGATGAGGTTAATTGGAAGGTTTCTCAAAAAAATTAAAAATAGAATTACTATATGATCCAACAATCTCACTGATACATATGCAAAGGAAATAAAATCATGATCTTGAAGAGATACCTGCATTCTCATGTTCATTGCAGCATTATTCACAAGAGTCAAGATATAGAAACAACTTATGTGAGCATCAATAATGAATGGATAAAGAAAATGTGGTATATACATACAATGGAAAATTATTCAGCCTTAAAGAGAAGGACAAATTGGTCTATGTGACAACATAGATGTACCTAGAGAACATTATGCTAAGTGAAATAACTCAGCCACAGAAAGACAAAAACTGCCTAATTTTACTCATATGTGTAATCTAAAAAGTTGAAGTTACAGAAGCATAGAACAGTAGTTACCAGGAGGTGTGAGGTAAGATAAATGGGGATTTGTTGGTAAAAGAGTACAAGTTTTCAGTTATAAGATGAATAAATCTGCAGACCTTATGTACAGCATAGTGACTATGGTTAATTAAAATGTATACTTAAACTTTGCTTAGAAAGCCGGGTGCAGTGGCTCAAGCCTGTAATCCCAGCACTCTGGGAGGCCAAGTCGGGCAGATCTTGAGGTCAGGAGTTCAAGACCAGCCTTGCCAACATGGTGAAGTCCCATCTTTACTAAAAATACAAAAATTAGCCAGGCATGGTGGCAGGTGCCTATAATCTCAGGAACTTGGGAGGGTAAAGGACAAGAATCACCTGAACCTGGGTGGCAGATGTTGCAGTGAGCTGAGATCATACCACTGCACTCCAGCCTGGGTGACAGAGTGAGACTGTCTCAAAAAAAAAAAAGTTGCTAAGAGAGTAGATTTGTTTTTGTTTTTCTTTTATTTTTAGATGGAGTCCGCTCTGTCACCCAGTCTGGACTGCAGTGGCACGATCTCAGTTCACTGCAACCTCTGCCTCCTGGGTTCAAACAATTTTTCTGCCTCAGCCTCCTGAGTAGCTGGGATTACAGGCACCTGCCACCACACCTGACTAATTTTTGTATTGTTGGTAGAGATGGGGTTTCATCATGTTGTTCAGGCTGGTCTTGACCTCCTGACCTTAAGAGATCCACTCATCTCAGCCGCCCAAAGTGCTGGGATTACAGGCATGAACCACTGTGCCGGCCAAGAGAGTAGATTTTAATTGTTCTCAACACACGAAACACACACAGTAACTATGTGAGTTGATTGATATGCTAATTAGCTTGATTGTGATAATCATTTCCCAATGTATACATATAACAAAATATCATATTTTACACCTTAAATATATACAATTTTTTTTGTTTGTTGTTTTGGTTTTTTAGAGGCAGAGTCTCGCTCTGTCACCCAGGCTGGAGTGCAGTGGCACGATCTTGGCTCACTGCAACCTCCGCCTCCCAGGTTCAAGTGATTCTCATGCCTCAGCCTCCTGAATAGCTCAGATTACAGGCATGTGCTACCATGCCCAGCTAATTGTTGTGGGTTTTTTTGTATTTTTAGTAGAGACAAGGTTTCACCATGTTAGCCAGGCTAGTCTCGAACTCCTGACCTCAAGTGATCTGCCCACCTCAGCCTCCCAAAATGCTGGGATCATAGGCATGAGCCACAGCGCCTGGCCTACAATTTTTATTTGTCAATCATACCTCAGTAAAGCAAGAGAAAAAAAGAATCTCCAAGAAACACAGCAACTTTGACAAAAGGGTTGGGCCCAGAAATGGATCATATTGCACTTACTTTTGACATCTGTAGTCTCTTGGGTACCAGCCCAGCGGGGAAGACTACATGCAGAGCTATTTGGCAATGGCATCCTAAGGAGAGCAAATAGAAGAAACAAGTTACAAATTTATGGATTTATAAGTCACATGAAGCCTATGGATTACAGGGATTTCCATTCATCTTTTTTTTTTAACATTTATTTTAGGTTTGGGGACACATGTGAAGGTTTGTTATATAGACAAAGCTTGTGTCATGGGGGTTTGTTGTACAGATTACTTCATCACCCAGGTATTAAGCCTAGTACCCAATAGCAATTTTTTCTGCTTCTCTTTCTCCTTCCACCCTCCACTGTCCAGTAGACCCCAGTGCCTGTTGTTCCCTTCTTTGTGTCCATGTGTTCTCATCATTTAGCTCTCATGTATAAATGAGAACATGCAGTATTTAGTTTTCTGTTCCTGTATTAGTTTGCTAAGGATAATGGCCTCCAACTCCATCCATGTTCCTGTAAAAGACATGATCTTGTTCTCTCTTAGTATTCCATGATGCATATGTACCCCATTTTCTTTATTCAATCTGTCATTGATGGGCATTTAGGTTGATTCTGTGTCTTTGTTATTGTGAATAGTGCTACATTGAACATTTGCATATATGTGTCTTTAGAGCGGAATGATTTATATTTGGCAAAGATTTCATGACAAAGACAACAAAAGCAATCACAACAAAAGTCAAAGTTGACAAAGGGGATCTAGTTAAACTTAAGAGCTTCTGCACACCAAAGAAAACTATCAACAGAGCAAACAGACAATCTACAGAATGGGATAAAGTATTTGCAGACTATGCATCTGAGAAAGGTCTAATATCCAGCATCTATAAGGAACTTAAACAAATTTGCCAGAGAAAAACAAACAATCCCATGAAAAAGCGGGCAAGGGACATGAACAGACATTTTTCAAAAGAAGACGTGGCCAAAAGGCATATCAAAAAAAACTCATTATCACTGATCATTAGAGAAATGCAAATTAAAACCACAATGAGATACCATCTTACACTAGGCAGAATGGCTATTATTGGAAAAGTCACAAATAACAGATACTGGCAAGGTTGCAGAGAAAAGAGCACATTCGTACACTGTTGGCAGGAGGGTAAATTAGTTCAACCATAGTGGAAAGCAGTGTGACAATTTGTCAAAAAGCTAAAAACGGAACTACCATTCTACCCAGTGATCCCATTACTGGATATTTACTCAGAGAAATATGAATCATTCATGTTTTCATTTGGTTTCTTAAACATTTGTTTCTTCTCTTCCTCTCTCTCCATACTCCTAACGATAATCCCACAATCCCATTAAATAAACTAAAGTTGGACTCTATCATCTTTAGTGATTTGTTTGTTCTCTAGTTTGTCATAAAAGGGTAATATTTTCAACTTCTGTGCATGAAAACTCAAACGTTAAGTTCGTAATTATTTCAAAGGGATTTATGAGGGAGTTTCTCTAGGGAGTTGTTTTCAAAATAAGATAAGTGCTATGAATGAGATAAGAAAGATTACAGTAATTATGTTGGTGTCTGAAAAAAACTAAAAACTTAATATCAGTGGAGTAAATTGGGGACTCACAGATGCAGTGTGTATCTTTTGAAACACATCTGTATCCTAGTTTCCTTGAATCCAAATATGATACTCTAAGCAAGCAGAGACTGGGTGGCAAGAACAGATTATTTTGTACAGAATGAACAAAGTCATCAGTTTCTACAGTGCAACACGTAGTAGTAATTATTTTCCTCTGATTGAAGGAGGAGGGACCTCAAGCTTCAGGAACCTGTGACTGTGTGAGGGTAGAGTGGAATTGATGTCAGCCTAACTAGCCCTAAAATATTCCTACACATGTAATCAGCATACAAATCAGCCCTAATAATTCCTGAGACAGGGGTTGGTGGCCTACCCTGCACGTTCTTCTAACCTGCGGGTCTGAATTTAAAAGTGCAGATTTTTTAGCTCGACTCTTAGCAAGGATTCTTTAGTACATTTGGGGCAGATGGTTCTGATACAGGTGGCAAGTGGGCCAGTTTCTCGACTTCTACAGGAACAACTTCTTTGCTTGTTTTAATATATTTTGTCAGTAAACGTGATGGTTTGAGATGTTCCTTTTTTTTTCTTTAATTTTATATAAATAGAATTATATAGCATGTCATCTAGCTCAAAATGTACATTATATTTGTGAGATTATTGAGTGGAACCATAGTTTGTTCTTATTTATTGCTATATAGTATTCCATTGATGCTAACACCCCTGTTGACTCTTCTGTCAATGAATAGTACTTATTCTACATTTTGCCTGTTTTCGTTTTTTTAGCTATTATGCAAAGTACTGCTAAGAACATTATCATATATGTCTTTCCACATACATGTGAAAGTGCATTTCAGTTGGAGTAGAATTGCTAGGTCTAAGATATCCATAGAATTAACTGTAGAAAGTAAAACCAAACTTTTTCTAAACAGTGACATCAATGTACATTCCCATCAGCTGTATATGAGAGATCTTACTGTTAGACATCCTTACCAACACTTTTTTTTTTAATCATGCCACATGGTTTTTAATTATGCATAAAGATCTAACATATCACCCAGGGACCATTTCACGCACTGCTCTGTTTGGCTGCCAGTCTTTTGTCTCTCTCTTCAGCAATGGTGAGGCAGATACCCTTTCCTCAGGGAAGAGAAATCCATGGTTTGTTGCCCTTGCCAATAACAAAAATATTGGACAGTCAAGTGGCAAAGCTGTTGCCATTGGCATCTTTCATGTGAACCACATCAAAAGATCCAGGGTGCCTCTCTCTGTTGGTAATCACACCAATTCTTCCCAGGTTAGCACCCCCAGTCACCATACACAGGTTACCAGTGTCAAACTTGATGAAATCAGTAATTTTGCCAGTCTCCAAATCAATCTGAATGGGATCATTCACCTTGATGAGGGGATCAGGGTGGCAGATGGTGTGAGCATCATGAGTCACAGATGAGGGATTCCTTTTGTGCCCACAAAGATTTTTCGTACTTTGCACAATTTGTACTTGGCCTCCTCAGGTGTAATACGATGTACAGCAAAGTGACCCTTGGTGTCATAGATCAGACGGAAATTCTCTCCCGTCTTGTCAATGCTGATGACATCCATGAAACCAGCAGGGTAGGAACCTTGCCATCCACCTTAATGAACAGCTGCATGCAAATCTTCTTTACTTCATTTCCTGTCAGGGCATACTTAAGTCTGTTCCATAGGAAAATGATGAAGGGGAAACACTCTCTCAACTTGTGTGGACTGGTGGATGGACGAGGAGCAAACACACCGATCAATTTATCCAGCATCCAATGCTTTGGAGCTGCCACCCGCTTCAGATGCTTCTTGGGACCACGAGCCATGGCTATGTTAGGCAAGGAAAGAACCCTTACCAACACTTAGTAGGCTTTTTTTTTTTTTTTTTTAGACTCGAGGAGTACATGTGCAGGTTTGTTGCATGAATATATTGTGTGATGCTGAAGTTTAGGCTTATACTGAACCTGTCACCCAAATAGTGAACTTAGTACCCAAGAGGTAGTTTTCAACCTTTGCTCCCTTCCCTCTCTGACCTTTTGGATTCCTCAGTGTCTACTGTTCCATTTTTATGTCCATGTGTACCCACTGTTTAGCTCCCACTTATAAGTGAGAACATGCTATGTTTGATTTTCGATTTCTGCATTAATTCATTTACCAGCTGCATCCATGTTGCTGCAAAGGACATTATTTCATTCTTTTTCATGGCTATGTAGTATTCCATGGTGTATACACACCACATTTTCTTTATCCAATCCACCATTGATGAGCACCTAGGTTTATTCTATGTCTTTGCTATGGTGAATAGCGTTGCAATGAACATATGAGCACAGGTGTCTTTTTGGTGAAATGATTTACTTTCCTTTGGATATATATTCAGTAATGGGATTGCTGGGTCGATGGTAGTTCTATATTTAGTTCTTTGAGAAATCTCCAAACTACTTTCCACAGGAGCTGAACTAATTTACATTCCCACCAACAGTGTATAAATGTTCCCTTTTCTCTGTAACCTCATCAACATCTGTTATTTTTTTATTTTTTATTAATAGCCATTCTGATTGATGTGAGATGGTATCTCATTGTGGTTTTTCTTTGCATTTCTCTGATGATTAGTGATGCTGAGCATTTTTTCATATGTTTGTTGGCCACTTGTTGTGTCTTCTCTTGAGAAGTGTCTATTCATGTCCTTTGTGCAATTTTTTTTTTTTTTTTTTCTTTTTTTTTTTTAAACGGGGTTTTCGCTCTTTTTACCCAGGCTGGAGTGCAATGGCGCGATCTCGGCTCACCGCAACCTCCGCCTCCTGGGTTCAGGCAATTCTCCTGCCTCAGCCTCCTGAGTAGCTGGGACTACAGGCGTGCGCCACCATGCCCAGCTAATTTTTGTATTTTTAGTAGAGACGGGGTTTCACCATGTTGACCGGGATGGTCTCGACCTCTTGACCTCGTGATCCACCCGCCTCAGCCTCCCAAAGTGCTGGGATTACAGGCTTGAGCCACCACGCCCGGCCTGTGCAATTGTTTTTTAATACAAAGTCTCACTCTGTCGCCGAGGCTGGAGTGCAGTGGCATGATCATAGTTCGCAGCAATCTTCCCATCTCAGCCTCTTGAGTAGCTGGGATCACAGACACATGCCACCACACCTGGCTAATTCTTTTTTTTTGGAGAGATGGGGTCTCCCTATGGTCCCAGGTTGGTCTCAAACTCAGGGGACAAGCAATCCTCTTCCTTCCTCGGCCTCTCAAAGTACTGGGGTTACAGATGTGAGCCACCACACCTGGCTCTTTGTGGACTTTTTGAAGGAGTTATTTAGTTTTTGTTTGTTGATTTAAATTGCTTATAGATTCTGGATAGTAGTCCTTTGTTGGATGCAAAATTTGAAAATATTTTCTCCCATTCTGTGGGTTATCTATTTACTCTATTGATAGTTTCTTTTGCTATGCAGAAGCTTTGGTTTAATTAGGTCCCAATTGTCAGGGTTTTTTTTGTTGTGTTTGCTTTTCAGAACTTAGT